CCTCACTTTTGAGAATTAGATCATGTATAGGGACTAATTTACAATTTAGGTAATTTTAGTTATATTCCAATTTAACCCATGGGTGAAATTTATAATTATTGAAAGTTAATAAAAAACTATTTCTTATACTTATTGTTATGCTTATATTAAATAATAAAATAAATAAAATATTAATAAAGTAATATAAAATATCAAAATAATATAAAATAATTTATAATAATAAATAAATTATATGATAAAAATAATAAATAAGAAATATTTTAGTTATTTAGCTTAATTCAATGTACAAGTATATATATTAAAACTAGTTTTTGAATATATATAATTTATATGCAAATGTATAAATTATCGCACTTTATATAGCAGAGTTTTGCACTTTATAAAACAACATCTTGTTTTAAAATAACCATCGAACTATATAAAAATAATATTATTTTTATATTTTATCTATATATATGTTATTTATTTTCGTAACAACAATATAAACTATTAACTAGAAAATTTACTAATACGAAATATATTGTTTTATAAAAAAAAAATTGCACTTCAAAAACGCATTAGTGTTTCACACTTTATATAGCAGAATATTGCACTTTATAAAACAACACGTTGCACTTTATAAAACATGTTGTTTTAAATAACCTTCGAACTATATAAAAAAAATATTATTTTTATATTTTATCTATTTATATATATTATTTATTTTCATTAAACAACAATATAAACTATTAACTAAAAAACTTACAAATACCAAATTTATTGTTTTATAAAAAAACAAAAAAATCACTTCAAATGCGCATTAGTGTCAGGCTGATTGCACTTTAGCGTTAGACGGATTGTACATTAATGACTGTCGAATTACACTATAGCGATCGAACCCGACCAAATTGGTTTGCTGTATTCAAATTTTATGTCAGATCGATTATGTGTTTATCTTTAAAATTTTAGTTATTTCAGTTCGATATAATTTTATTTTTATTTTCTTACATAATCGAAATAACTGCACCGACCCAACCATATAAACAAATAATATTTTTTATATTATTGTTAATAAAAATAATTTTTTTAATTAAAATAAATAAAATGTTAGATAAAAATATTAATGTGCAATTTACATAACATTAATGTGCAATTTAATTATCGTTACCGTGCAATTTCCGTAACATTAATGTGCAAGTATTTAAGTTGTTATAAATTATAAATTAAACTGAAGACAAATTCATGTTGGTTTTGATCTGACTAGAGTTGTTTGACCAAAAAATATAAGTTAGTTTAATTTTATTTATTTTTAATTGGTGTAATTTATTTTATCTTTGTTAAAGTCTTGAAGAGGACGTCTAAACATATGTGCATAATTTTGTTACCGTCATTCTAATTTTTTTATTGGTCCATAATTATAACAATTATAACTCTTGAAAAAAAAAGGCATAAAGTGTTAATTATTTTGATAATTTTTTATTCGTATATTAATATTATTTGCATAAGAATGATGTGAAGATATTGTCTTTTTCAAAACATTACGACAAAAAAAGTTCTACACGACATACTAAGAATGCAACAACTATTTGTTTAACATATATCGCAAGTGTAAGTTTTAGTTTTTATTAAAGCTATATATTATAAATTAAATATTTTATTCTTATTGTTTTGCAAGAATTCTATCAGTGTGTATTTCTACCCAAATAAGTTAAATTGTTATTCTCATAAATTCAATATAAAATAAGCGTAGGCTATTGATCTAAACAAGGATAAATGATCATCTTGATTGTTACCTTAATATGACCTGAATATATATATATATATATATATATATATATATATAAAGAAATTGAGTCATTTTAGTATTTTTTTATTAAATATTTAATTTATATTTTTTTAATTGGCTCATATTTGTACATATTTATTTCAATTATTCTATATCAGTTTATCTATATATAATAGTAATAATAAAATGATGAAAATTATTTTATTATCGAGACAATTTTAGGAAAAAAGTGTGAAGGAGTATTATTAATGTGACAAACATTAATTTTCATCGAATATCAGGAATGATTTTTTCTAATGTTAAATTTATTAGGTTTGCAATTTTTTTATGGAAAAAACAACATATGATAATTTGTAGTCACAATCACGTATATGGTGTTGTTTCTAGAGTCATGAATCGCTATTATCTGATAATATAATGAATACAAAACATAAACTACTAATACTATATTTTAAATGATAAATAGAATTTTCATCTTAATTTTTATAAATATTTTTATTTAATTAAATTATAATTCATCCACGTCATTTTTAACACTAGACCTCGCAACACGCGGGTACCTTATCAGTTCATATGAATATCAAGTAGTACTCCACATAATTATTGAAGCTAATGATGAATTTTACTCCTAGAATATAATGCTGTTCTTGCTCTTACTATTAAATTCAAAAACAATTTCATTTAATACCTCAAAATTTCAAGAGGTTCACCATGAATAAGACAAACATGCAAGACTCTGGATTCGCACCAGTCCCCAAACAACAAATGAAAAAAATTAATGACCCAAAGACCCAACTCATCCAGAAAAGAAATAACTCGAGAAAGACAGCTATGGCAAACAATTCAAGAAAAAAAAAGGGCCACAAGGCCATAATTCCTAGTACAACCTCCCTCTGCAGTGGCGAGAACCACATAAGCAATCCTTGGTCTTAATATTCCCATTCGCATCCCGAACAGTGCCCGGCTTATAGTTATAGTCATAAGCAAGCTCCTCCAATGGCGGGATATCCCTAGTAGCGAAAAACATAATGTGCGGAATTCTCTTATCTATATGGTCATAACAAACGTCCTGCGCATACACGTTAGGCGAGCAGCTATGGTTAATGAACCTCCCCACATTCCCATAAACCGCCCCATCTATAGCATACCCATCAACAACCCCACCACGGCTATTATATATGTCGAATAGATACTCATCATGCCCGACTCTCAAATCCGCATCTTTATCCCGCAAAAGCTCACCCAAATACTCACAAACAAAACCTCCCGACGGGATTAGCTCCCGAGACCTAACTCCCCAACCTCGGCGCTCGGTTTTGAAAATCTCCAACTGATATCTCATCTTTTGTTGACCCACCCGGTTCATGCAAGTGGGCGGGCATTTGCACAAGGGCCCGCATTCGTGAATCCGGGCTTTTCTCCGCAAAATTGCTCCTTTCTCATTGTAAGGAATCTCTCCCCCGTTTTTCACGACACACGGGCACTGACGAGAATCCGAGCACCCGTTTGAGCAATAGCAACCGGACGGCTCGACTCGCGCGTACCATTTGGGATAAACCATGCACGTGATGTAAACGAATGTTGGTGGTTTCACATCATCATCCACCTCGTTGACCACGCGTATCGGTATTTTTTCCTTTCCTAGGGAGATATCGTCTGATATGCAGACGCGCCTCTCGACTTTTTCCGACGGGATGGCTTCGGGCATCATCCGGCGCAGTTCGAACTTGAACACGAGATTGCTCGTCCGGTTATCGTTTTCTTGCCAAGCTTTGTTTATCATGTAAAGCCCTCGGTACACGTAAGGTCCCTCCCGGCTCTTCCGTTTGTGGGTGACCCGAACGGGATACCTCGCCGACATGCTATTCATCATTGCGAGATTCCCCTTCTCGAGTTTTTGGTCGGACGAGTTGTCGATGATCTTCGGGTTCCCGCCTTGGCCCGTGTACACAAACACATCATTAGGTGTTTTTGACGTTTTCTCGTACTTGCCTGAGTTGACCACACTAACCGCGTACTTCTTCCCATCAAGTGTCACGTGATCTATGCCTCCAACTAACTGGCGATGGAGGCCAATAACCGCGAGTTGTGACCGAAACCGGAACTCGTCGCCGATTTCGACGCCCGGAATGTGGCCGAAGGGCTTTTTGGGAAGAACGTACTTGCCTTCTCTCTTCAAGCGGTCAGCGGCTTCGAGATGGTTATATGCGGTTTTTTCCTCTTTTGCGGATTTTTTATAGTACTTTTCGAACAACCTCATGGCCTTCATCACCTTGACTCCCTCGGGCTCCTCACGCTTCACGATACTCAGATTGATTAGGTCCTTCCGATTGTTGCTGCCTAAAGATGCATGTTTTTCCGAATCTGTTAAGCCATTGACGCGATGTTTTTCTCCGTCTTTAGTTACGGTTGGTTCGATATCAGTATCATGTTTGCTTTGTTGCCCGGATTTCACTCCTTTGACACCGTTAGACTTACCATTAAGGCAAGATTGCAACTTTGTCCACTCTTCATGCGATAAAATGCAAACTTCGTCTTCGTAATTTTTCGAATTGGTGGTCAGATTTTCATCTGAATTCTCGTGCACGCTATTTTCTGCGGTCGACTTGCGTTTACGCAAGTTGTATGGTGAGTTGGAAAACTTGACGTCAAAGGCATCCAAGTAGCTTTTAGCCTCGGACAGAAGTGCAGCCAGTTTTTTTGAGTCGTGCTTCCATAATTCTCTTTGCGAACGAGCCTCATTCCCATTCTCTTTGGTTCTTTTTTTCCCACGCCTGACTGAACTTCTCAACGGCACAGCTGGCACAGCCGACACATCTTTTGCACCTTTAACCGGCGTTTCACTTTCTCCTTCATTAATCCCATTGGTAAATTCCAACTTTGAACACTTAACATTATTATTGGATGAAGAACTAACACAGTCAGTGGAAGGGAGGCCACATGAATCAGATTGAGCTTTGGCCCTAGTCTTTGGTGGGGTTGTCCGAGCAGCGTTCAACTTTCGGAGCTTGTAATTTTCGTTTTTGGGTAGCCGTTGAGAGGGCCTCTTTTGCGGAGGGCTTGAATCGGACACTAAGCTCATTGCCAGTTAAGACACAAAATTCCTACAGCATTTTTAGACACAAAAATTACCAAAAGCTCGAACGAGATGAAATAAGCAGATTGTGTAAGGAAAATCTAGTAATTTCAAAGTTCAAGACACGTGTTTCGCAAACAAATTGAGAATCAAACATTGAATGCAATTCAATTGTGTGTGAGTTAGTAACAACTAACAAAACTAAGGAATCTTAAACCCCTGATTCATGATGTCTTTATAACTTTTACAGGACTACCAGCTACATAATAATTTCAGATGCATTTTCTTTTATGACTGAGCCTAACCAACTTTGATTCGTTAGGCACCTCACAGCAATGCTTGTAATATAAAATGACAGCAAACAAATAAGTAACAGCAAAGAGTCCATAATAAGGATGAGTAAGCTGAAATAATTATTAATCAAATCAAAGAAATCTTTATTAGAACATACTCAACCATGACCACACCTAAGTGTACAGAATAATCAAAATGAAAATCCTGAAAAACTGCAGCATGATAGATAGACAATCATACTTTTTCATTACCTGTTTTCTAAAACTCAAATACCATATTTCAAAAAATAACATAAATAAATGCACACAGTTTTCATAACATGAGTATGGATATTTGTTAGGAAAATAAGGCTGGCAGCAATATTCTTTTTTCCCTAAAATTATGTCACTCCTCATACCAGATAAAAAATAATAATAACAAAAGAAACATAATCATAGCATACATCCCTTTTTCAAAATGAGAAGTTTCAAACAAAATCAATTGCCAGACAGAAAAAATTATATTGACAGCGCAAATCCATCCAAAGTTCAAAGAGAATATTCCAATTCGAAAGAATTTTTCAACCACTACATTGTAATTAAATCAAATCCCCCACACATCAACAAGTTAAACCGAGAGAACAATTGAATAAAGAAAGAAAAAAGAAATGCACATAGAAATAATGACTTGTCGAACTTTAACCAATGGCGATCGATATTTTCTAAATGCGACTCCAAAGCAGCCAGAACTTTACAGACTTCCAAATATGTCTTGAACAATGTTTGCAGTGGGGTAGAAATGAAAATGTGTACTGTTGGCAATATGAAACTTCGAAATCACAAAAGCCGAAAACTTGGGGTATTTTTGGTTCGAGGAGAGGGGAAGGGATGGGTTTTAAGGAAGGGGAGAAGGAACGTGAGGTTATATAAAATAATTATATTTTGTTTGGAGTAATTATTTATTAATATAGAAAAACATAAATTTAATTGAAATAGCATTTAATTTTCTGCTTAAAAAATCAAATTACAATTACTGGTACTACTAGTCCGTGGCCCGTGCGATGCACGGGAAAACAATATTACGATTGTATTATAAATTAAATATATAAATACCATTAATCATGATTTATCCATTATTTTTAAATTGAACCGGGTCGGACACAGTCCGACCGGATGGACCGAGAACCGGTTTATAATCAGTCTAGTTCGTTTGAATAAAATAGTTGCTCTTGAATCCGTCAGCACCAGTCGGTTGGACTAGTAGGATCAATACGATTTTCTGAATAAATTTTGTTATATTTACAATTATTTTAAATAAAATTACATGTTAAAATAAAATAGAGATTTATAAATTATTTATCATGAATTAGTTTAAATATTTGAATTTATAAATTGTTTAGATATCTAAGTAACACATTTTGTTTAAATTTATTACAAAAAGTACTATATATATATATATATATATATATATATATATTAGAATGTTTATAAATTAAAACTGAACAAACCACAAAAGATTTAATAAAATAGCTTGATCGTTTCGATGACGATCCCGTTCTAAAAATCTTATATTTACTGTACATTAATAAATATTATAATAAAATATTATTTAATTCACATAAATATTAATAAAATGATATATAAATCTTCATATATAAATCTTCATAAATCATTAAACATGTTGTCATAAAAGTACTGTTAATACGAATATTTAAAGTTTGAACTACATCACATTCACGTAATAAAATATTTTCAATATAAAATTTATATTTAGGTTCAATAATTGATTTTGTGTGGTCGAACTGATACATAACTTAGTCACTTGGGACCAACCAAGTTGTGTCAAGTTTTTTGACTATTTTAAATATCATCTAAAAGTAATTCAATCAGCCTGGGGCAGTACCCTAATTCAATTACTCGATTGATCCGAAGAAATTTAATTATTTTCTTTAAATATATTTAATTTTATGAAATAAAAATAATTTATGATTCATATAATAAATGTCTACACCAAACGATAGTATATTAATACTATTAATTATATATCTAAATATGAATTAATTATTTTTACTTTATGCATATTGATAAAAAATAAACATAGTAATTTTCAAAAAATTAAGATTAATTGATTGATTATGCAATTTAAAGAATATTTTTAGTGCTCAATATTTTTTTAAAGGCACAAATATAAAGACCGAGATTCTAAAACTCTTGTATATTTAGAATTGAGATATTATAAATATAGAGACCGATATTTTAATGTTGTTCGTTGTTTCTAAGAAAAAAATAATAAAATGAACTAAAGCCCGAAATTTAAAGTAGCATTTAATGTTGTATGATTTTTTTAAAAAAATAAGAAAAATAATAAAACTTACTATTTATAGGCTGCATTAAATTCTGACCTATTTTTTTGCTACTATATTTGGTAAATGGTAATTCTTATATCACATTTTATGGTCATAATTAAAAATTCGTATTTATTTAATAAAGAATATTAATTTCATAAATTATTTTTATATTTCGGATTGTTCAACTTAATTGATATTTTTTTTTCTATATTTATCTAACTAAAAATCTTTTAAGGTTTAGAAAGAATCTCATATTATTTGGATTTTTGGTAGCTATTTTTTCATACACATCCAATGAACAATTAGTTAGAATAAATATTAGAAAAGGAAACAAATCATAAGAAGATAGTAAAGGTAGATATCATACGAATTAATATTGAAAAATAAAAAAAATCGATAAGACGAAATCACACAACAGATTTACAAATTTAATGAGATTTAAATTTAAATATGAGATATTATCTCACAACAAATTTAATGATATTTAATTTTGAATATAAAATCAATCGATGATTTATTTGAATATAAAATTTAATCATACAACAAAGTTAATGAATAGATCTTTATATACCAATACTATTTTATTTTATTTTATTTAGTTCTGTATGTACCAAGTTTATCTTATCTTATTTTACTTTTTTTTTTTAAAGACAAAGTCATAAACAATATAAAAATTTCCACTAAAATATCTTAAAAATTGTAACTTTAAATTGTTAAGAGAATAAATTTTACTATATATATGAATTAAAAGATCAATTTTCCTAAATGCAAATGAAGATTTTTTATCAATAAGATTCAAACTCTCTAAGTTTAAGAGATAACAGAGTTCAACATCACGTAATAAAATAAATTTAATAATTTAAAAATACCCAACATCATAAATCAATGTGGGATAATATTTAATAATTTTTTAGATATGTTTTTTTTTCAAAATAGTTTAGAAAAATATAGGTGATTTCACATATTTTTTTAGAACATTTTGGATATTTTACAAATTTATATATTTTTACACATGGTATATAACATTTAGATACTTTTAATATTTTATATAGACATGTTTTACATGTTTTCACAAATTTAATTTTCATAAGATATTTTCAACAAATTAACATATTATATTGCATAGTGATCACTACATATTATAAATTTATAAATATTATTTATCAATCAATCGGACCAACTTCTTCGAACACTTTATATAGATTGATTTATTTTTGTATTTATCTAACTAACAAGCATATAATCTTATAAGAATTTCATATATGTGGGTTCTTCATTTAATTTATGGTATATAATAATTCCATACTATGTCTCCGTTCAAATAAAATTAAACCAATTAACGATGTTGAATCAACAACTGCACGTAAATAATATGACTTTAAACTTTTGAAAATACATTTGCCATTTTTCATCTCTTATCCAAATTACAAATTTGATCATATGAATCTCAAATATCTCATATTTATTAAATATATATATATAGGGATTGGTTCCAGTGCATCCGCTTATTTAAAGTGAGGACGTGAGACTCATTTTTAGCCACAAGATTTGGTTAGGGCTGAGCATGGGACTCGGAGAATTCCGAACCGTTCCGAAAACCGAACCAAAATCACTCCGAACCGAAAAATATCCATTGACCGTTTGACGTTCTCCGAATCGAACCAAACCGAAAAAATAATTGGTACGGTTCTGGAGATTTCATAAATATCCGTACCGAGAATCGAACCGAACCGTCCCGTATCGTACCGAACCGAAGAACCGAATTATAAAAATAGATTCGTGTTATTAATATATTTTATATCAACTTTGATCCTATATGATTTGAGAATTTTTAAAATGCAAATAAAATATAGTAATAATAATTAAGATTCACTTACATTTCATGTTTACTAATACTTGATCTACAATTGAACTTCTCCTATTTAAAAAAAATGGAATGAAAGGTTAAAGATTTTAAAAAAAATATTTAAGCTTTACTTAAAGTTGTCAATGTTATAAAAAATACTTTAAGTTTATCTTATAACTAACATGGTATGGAAGGTTAAATAAATATTACTTTAATATAAAACTGTATTATATTTTGTTTGAATTTTAAATTTCAATGATAGTTGAATTTAGTCTTAACTAAAATTTAGGGTTGCTTGTAAAGTTGATTTAAAAATAAAATCTTTAGTATGATGAAGTATTGATGAATGTTGGATTTAAAAAAGATATATAAAAAATAAAATGTAACTAGGTGGTCATTCAAAAAAAATTAAAAAATGATAAGAAATCTCTAAATATCCGAACCGAATCAAACCGAACTGAACTTTTATGATAGTACCGAAAACCGAACCGAACCGAATCGAAAAATAAAAATCTCCGAACCGGATATTTGTTACGATTC